CTTCTCACCTTGTTGTCTAACCCCTTGAATTCTTTCTTCTCCACTAAGCGTCGACAGTTTGACAGATTTGCGCAAGGAAGTTCTGCTTCAAATGAGCTGAGCCGGAAAAATAGTTTTTTTTTTTTTTTTAACATTTACAATCGAACCGTCCGGTTGTAAAGTGATCGGACATCTTTTACTTTATTTGGTACAAGAGCGCTTTGCAGAAATGCCTTGAAAATTTCAACAGAGTCCTTCAATCGAAACCTGATAAGTGATTTAGTTTATTGCCTTGTGATCTGTTGCTAATCGAAAAATATCAACCTACATCCCCCTACGTATAAATATTTTTATAAACGAAACCATTTTTGCGTTGGTTTTAAATTGTTTGCAGCCTAAACCAAACGCTGTTGCTTAACTACGCGTATTTCTTATGCGTATGTATCTGTGATGTTGTGTGGGGTGCGTCCACACTCTAGACAAGTTAACTATCGTTAAAGTATAACAGAGGTAAGTTGCATTTTTTTTTTTTTTTTTTTTCTTTTACATTTATTACTTTTCTACAACAGATTCTTCGCACATTCCATCGCTGTTGGCTTTTGCGTGCTAACAGCACTCACAATTTATTTATGTTGCATGACATGATTAAAAATAGGAAAAAAAAATCTTACAAAGGAATTTCTAAAAATTTCCAAACTTCCTCGCATAATAAATTTACTATGGGGCAGTTACCGTATATTAAACAATTATCCTGCGTACATGCGACCTATTTTATAACTGGCCCAATTAATAACTGCTCCCAGCTTAGATTGGATGAGTAAATTTCTGCAATAATTTTAAACATTTTTTTGGTACTAAAAAAGAAGTGTAGACACTTTTGTCTCCCATAGCCCACCATTAAATACCCTACACTATTTCGCCTGATACGATTCATCATTTAGTTTAGTGAGAAACTACAAAAATCTTATTTCCACAAAGGTGTACTTTTTTATAGGAGGCATTAGTTAGAGACTAAACCAACGCGACGGTTTGGTCCGAAGCGAAAAAAATCATTTTTTTGTGCGTAAGACCTTAGTATTTTGCACCACAAAGGTCAAGTTTTTACATTGCTTTTTCATGAGATGTACTCAGAGAAGAGCGCCAGCCACATGGCTTAGTTAATTTTCATATATATGAAATTGTTTCCGTAATAACATCATATAAAAGGCTCTACCTCAAATAACATACGATACATAGAAACGTATTCATGAAATAGATCAAGGCGCTATATCTGACCTTTTCATTTAACTGTAATAATATCAAGCTCACGGGAAATTAGGGAAATCGTTCTGGCACAGTATAAGAAGTACTAAGAGTACGGACGGTCTCTAAAAATGAGGCTCAATAGCTCCACAAACAAGAGGAGGTATGTAGGAATCTATGTGCGTGTGTGCGACTTACCGCTTTCTTGCGTCTACTACATTAACAGAATCACCGACTTCGTGCTATTAAGTAAAAAAATTAATACTTTCTTCGAACTACCCCATATGGCAATCGTGTACATGCCAATTAAAGAAAGCGATGCAAAATGCAAATTTTCTGAAAGTTTATGTCCTAACCACAATTTGCACTATAGAGAAATTAAAAGCCTTAATGTGCTACAGTAGCGGATGCATTAATGCAGTAATCCATTACTGAATGGCAGCAACTTCATTAATATGTTGAATTTGCTTCAAAATCGTAGTATTTATCATAAAAAGCGCCGGTAATCTTTGATACTGACAATGGCATTCCTCTCCTGATGCATTCATGGTTCAATGGCTTGAACCATGTATTCTGTAAATTATAGCATTTTTATCGCAAATCGAACGGCGAGGAATCTTGTAATATCGGCCCACGTCGCTTATTCTTTCTTTCGCGTTAATCAAGATCCAAAGAAAAGTAAAGTCATTTAATTATAAATTTTTCCTTTTTGCGGTTACCTATGATAAATTAAAAACCGGCGTACACAATATAACTTTGTAGTAAATACAAAGAAGAAATAAGAAAAAAAACTTGGACAACTCAATCAAGATCTGTCATGCATGCTAACGTGCATTCGTTATTTATATAAAATGAAAAAAAAATGAAAAGAAATTTCAATAGCTGTTCATAGTAAACTGGTGGGTAAGCAAATGTAAATAAAAAAATAAATAAATAAAAATATAATGCTCGAATTTGAAATAAAAATCAGCGGAGGTGGCTTTCGAAGTAGAACATGTTTTTAAAGAATAAATTATTTTAGCTTATGTCAAGTTATCAATAAATTATGACGTAAGAAAAATTAAATGACAATTACTCACTGCGATAGATCTCCTAACGCTTTTCCATATATATGTGTGTAACAATTGCACAATTATTAATGATAAACTTTTTATATTAAATTTCTATTAGAAAAACTATTTAACGTGAGGTAAAGAGAAAAAGAGGATACGTTCTACTCCATGATATAGAAGAAAAAAAAAAAAAGAGGTCACAGAATGCTTTAAAATTCTTAAATACAAAAAAAAAAAATAAAAACAATATATGAACAAAGTAAGCGCAAGCCAAACCCCATGAAGTATGATATATGAAATTACTACGTGATATATGTACGTCTTGTAGCTGTGGTAAACGGAAATTTATAAGATGAAGCTGAGTTGTAATCAATCCAGGGAGCAACTTTAGTATATATGTATATAAACACATTCACAATAAGAAAACATAATAGGAAGTTCTCTTTCTCAAAATTCACGCTTGGCATTGCAGTTTTTATATACTTATATATATATTTATATATACACAATGTATGTGATATACATATATATATATACAAAACATACTTATGCGTCAACTTAAAAAAAGCATTGCAAACACACAAAGATATATGCAAACAAAACGATGCAGAAGAATTATAATTTTTTATACAAATGTACAAAGGCCTTCAGTAGAGGCATTTTTTCTTCTTTTTTTTTGCCCACAAAACCGGCTGTTGTAGAAAATTTAAAGAAATCGTCTTTGCTTTCTTGCTGGTTTTTGCCATATACATATTTTTATAATTTCTTTTTATTTCCATAATTTACTTACCTTTGCACACCGAAAATTCTTCAATTCCTTTTTCTTGCTTTTTTTTTTTAGGTATATATTTTTAATTTCTTTAGCGAGTTTTCTTTGAATTTTTTTTCTTTTTGCCGACACGAAATTGCTTTGCAGGATTTTCGCTCCTCTGCTTGTTCGTCGTTCAGCTTATTCTCGTTACTTCGTAGGTTCTTTTTTTTTTTAATTCCTTAGATCCACAATAATTTTCAACGCTATAATTCTACAAAATTTTGACAGAAATTAAAGTGTTACGATGATGACAAAATCTTTTTCTATAATTGATCAGTAGTTTTTTCTAATAAATATGTTGCATATATATATATATATATGTATTTTTTTTTTTTTTAAATAAATTATCAGAGTTTGCTTCGATTATAATGATTTTGTCCTGCTGCAAAAGAAAAACTGCGAAACAATCGACAACTATGCGCCGAAGAGAGAGTAATACGGATTGATTAAGAAAAAAAGTTGGATTAAAATTTTTTTTTAAACAATGTTGCCAACTTTCCCATTAACAACGCCGAATTCTTGACATTTGCAGGCCAAATAAACATTTGATTAAATGCATAGAATTCTTTATTATTTTAGAAGGACATGCGTAAATAAATTTCTTAATCGATGAAAAGTTTAATAACTTTATAAAATCGTCCTAAAAAAAATATTCTTTTTTATCGATATAAAAAGATGGCATATGTTAATGAAGAATCAGTAAATCTGGGAAATCCATGCTATTCCATTCTATCGTGCAAACCGCAGGAAAAATAGAAAAAATGAAAGACCTCTTTAAGAACGATAAAAATTAAATTAATAAAATAAAGAAACAGAAGCGAAAAAGAGTACTATTATCAATGAATGCAAAAAAATGTACATAATCGATTTATAATGAATTTTTGTTGGTCATCGCATTATTTTTTATAAATCTTTTAAAATGTGTGCCGTAAAACAAGGAAAATCTTTAAAAAATATTTATTGTTTTTGTTGTTTACAAATTTTTTCAGTGCCTTTTTACGCCATTTTACAACGCTTCATATCCAATTCAGCAGTTTCCAAATTTTTCTCCCAGTAATTTCATCGTCCTAACTTTAACATATACTATCCCTTACACGTAACAAAAACGGATGGATTTTGTTTAAATTCAAAGAAAAATTTGTGGCTTTTGAGTATTTTCAATCATTTCACATTAATGTCATAAATTTTAAATTTATTAAATAACACTGCGCTGAACATCTTCATCAACACATAACACGTCCCGCAAATCTCTCCATTTGAATACGATAATATCATTACTATCTTCTTCGAATATCATAACCCATGAAATTGGAGAGGTATTCCTTACGTTTATTTAAAACTAAAAACCTACACCAAAAAACTAAAACTAAAAAAGAAGAAGAAACCTACACCATAAAAACTACACCAAAAAATCCTACACTTACCCACTATGCGTCGAAGGAAGTCTCTCTTGCTTGCATAAACAGATTACTTTCATTTATTTCTATGCTTAACCATTATAGCAATCTATGCAGATGATGTTATTGCTTAAAATTTAAGGGCAGGTGGGATGTTGTTGTTGCATTTTAGCTCCTTAGCTATGTATATGGATGGTTAATTGATATTACGAAAGGCACGTGGATTGTTATACCAATGTCGTCAACTTTCAAAAATTCCTTGCACTCTTGCTGGCTTGTGTAGTTTATTTGACTTCCGGCGGTTCTGCATTGGTTTCATTGTCTCGAAAATAATCATATAAATCTCGGATAAAGTCAAAACTGGTTGATCCTTATATGATAGTTTGTGAAATTATTTTAGCTGACTAGCCTTAATGTTTAAATAAGCGATAGCATTTTTAAAAGATAATATTTCAGTGCAATTATATCCCAAATGACGTTTTGCGCTAAATTGATTGAAAAACACGACATTTTTTTGCGTTTGAAAAATTTTTTTCTTTGAACGTTTATTTACAATTTTTGTACCAATTTCTGCTTACAACGATAACATTCTTTTCTTTTTTACAACATAAATCTTATTTACAAGCAACAAAAAAGTAATTTATACTGTCCTCTATAGTACGTAAAACCTAATAAATGCAAATTGACTAAATCGGGCACTCATTTCAATTCGAGATAGGAATCTTTTCACTCCTCTGCACTCCTCTCTACATACGGAACACACCGAATTTTGTACCACAACCAGGATTATTAAGAGCGGTTTTCAAGCTCAGACCCAATACTTGACGAGTGTCTGCTGGATCAATAATTCCATCATCCCAAAGGCGTGCGGTACTGGAATAATGTAAACGAAAAAAAAAAATAGATGTAAATTTAATAAAATAATAATAAATAAATATTAGGAATAATTGAATTTTCCTTTCTATAAAAAGCTATTTACACGAGGGACGGAATTTACTCTGATTTATAAAGCGGTTATGAGTCGCGGAGAGAAGAAGATAAGGAAAAGATATCCAAAAAAACACAATGACACGTTTTCGAATTTTTTTTTGAGTTACTAAACATATAAGTAAAGTGCCAATGCTCAAGACGTTCACGAAATCGGTTTGACAAAACAAGGTATCGTTTGCCACAGTTGAGACAAAAAGATTTGAATAGCAGGGCTCGGAATTTCATTTAGTTCGACAGTACATGTGCTTTAAGTATGGTCTAGATTCATATCGATCGAGATACCAGGTTCATTCCATCTGTTTAGAAAGTCAAAATTTTTCCGCCGCTTTTGTGGAAATTGTTAAGTTTTTCTCACTCTGAAATTTTTTTTTCGGAACAGCATATGTCTTTCGTCTCCGGTAATTATCTGTTACAAGTAAACAAGACTGTTTCGATCTTTAGAGTATTGGGATCGTGCTTATAAGCGATGGGCCACTTATTTTGAAACATGATCTTTTGAGCTTAATCAGAAATATATTAAAACATTAAAGCCTACCTGTAATAAGGAGAACCCTCTTTTTCGAAAGTCTCTATAATGGGAGCCTTGAGTTTATTGGCTTCTGCTTCGGTGAATTCTCTCCCGGCTCTTTTCCGCTGGTCGGCCGTAATTTGGGCTAGAACATTCGCAGCTTGCACACCACCCATTACGGAAATACGAGAATTTGGCCACATGTATAAAAATCTCGGAGAGTAGGCGCGACCGCACATACCTTGAATTAAATTAAGAATTTTAAAAAAAGCTACAAGAAAACAAGAAAACTACTCACCGTAATTTCCAGCCCCGTAGGAGCCGCCAATAATTACAGTGAATTTTGGCACATTTGCCGTAGCCACTGCCGTAACCATTTTCGCTCCGTTTTTAGCAATGCCTTGGGCTTCTGCCTCTCGGCCTACCATGAAACCAGTAATATTTTGTAAAAATATCAATGGTATGTTACGTTGACAACACAATTGTATAAAATGGGCCCCTTTCAAAGCACTTTCCGAGAACAATACCCCATTGTTGCCAACAATGCCGACGCGATAACCGTAAAGCTGCGCAAAACCACATACCAAAGTATCTCCATACAGCTTCTTGAATTCCGTAAAACGACTGCCATCTACCAATCGGGCAATAACTTCGCGAACATCGAAGCTTTTCGTCAAATTCGGACCTACAATACCGTACAATTCTTTAGGATCATATCTTGGTTCTTCGATTGGGCGAATATCATTGCTCTGAGCTATCTTAATAGTTTCTTTGCTGGAGTACATTAAATGATAGGCATTGGTTGCTGCCATATTCAAATTGCTAACAACTTGTCGCGCTAAAAAGAGAGCATGTTCGTCATCTACAGCGTAATGATCAGTAACACCCGATGTTTTGCAATGCAAATCAGCTCCACCCAAATCCTCAGCCGACACTTCTTCACCCGTGGCAGCTTTGACTAAAGGCGGACCAGCCAAAAAAATAGTACCCTGTCGTTTCACTATAATGCTTTCATCAGCCATAGCAGGTACGTATGCTCCTCCCGCAGTACAACTGCCCAACACCACAGCTATTTGAGGTATACCTAAGGCTGACATGTTTGCTTGATTATAAAAAATGCGACCAAAATGCAATTTATCAGGAAACACTTCCGCCTGACGTGGTAAGTTAGCACCACCAGAATCAACCAAATAAATGCATGGCAAACGATTTTCCTGCGCTACTTCTTGAGCACGTATATGCTTCTTAACCGTGATAGGATAATAAGAACCGCCTTTGACAGTAGCGTCATTAGCTACAATAAGACATTCAGTTCTAAAAATAATTGGAATAATTAAAAACGGCTTTATTTCTTAATGTATAGGAAAAATTCACCCACTGACACGTCCTACGCCAGTAATAATGCCACCAGAATTGACTACTTCATCTCCGTACAACTGATAACCTGCCAAAGTGCTTAGCTCAAGAAAAGCTGAACCTTTATCCAAGAGTTTATTTATACGTTCGCGAGCTAAAAGTTTGCCACGTGAAGTATGACGTTCTATAGCTTTGTCTCCACCTCCCGACAGAACTTGTTTAGTAATATCGCGAAGCTCTGTGATCAATTTCGACATTTCGGATGCATTTTCCTAAGCAAATGTAAACACAAATTAATGTGATCTATCCAAAAAAAATGGATTTCAACTTATTTTTTAGCAAAACAAAGTCAAATGCCAAGAATTTTGGAGGCGATGATTTCGTTATTTATTTATTGCAAACATATGGGCATAAAAGTTTCCAAATTTCTTAAGTAAAAACTTATTTCACTACGATATTGAAACAGATTATTAGCTGACATGATTCGTTGAATACGTATCGAAGAAGCGATAAGGCACTCTGATGATTTGAAGATAACAGATCATTAACAATAATTTTTATTCGATATTACAGATATTACAGTTGTATATAATATTTAAGGAGCGGACTTTTGTTCCACATTTTCTGCTTTTTTACCAAACTTATGCAATTAATTTCAAGTGAAACTTACTTTGAATTCATCGGAATTCGCATCCACTGAAGTAGGCAATACATCAGCTTCTCCTACATGTATTAAACGGACATTATTGGTCCAATTCTTATTTAGTAATTTTGCCTGCAATAAGCTCCTTAATTTCAGCATAATTTTTGTTAAAAGTTAATTTAAATCGAAAATAATGAGTTTATTGCAAAAAAAAAAAACACTGTAAGCACGATCTACTTCTTTTTCTTTATTTATTATATGGAGTGATCGTGATAACGCCAGCATTACACAAAATTGTAGAAGTTGTAAAAATACTACACAAAAATGCATCTCTTTAGATAATTTTGTTTTAATACTGAACACACTCAACGACGTATGTAAATTTTAGCACGTCTGTGTTTGTATCGATTATCGTTGGACGGGTATTCTTTCGGCCGTAATAAATAAAACCAAATTCTAAGTGAGAAAATGCTGACCAAAACTAATTTGCTGTTAGCTCGTAACTTAACAAAGTCCATGGTGAGGTTTCATGGTCACGGTGGTATACCTGGTGAGGTAAGATCATAGATTTCGATGCCGTGATGGCTGACGTATGATTACATAATTTTTAATGAAAACCTTTTCAATATTTTCAGAACATACCTTTCAGTCTGCAAAATCGTTATCGCATAACTGGTGTTTTTACTGTATTCACTGTTTTGGGCTTTGGTTCACCTTTCCTGATCGTCAGACATCAATTGCTCAAGAAGTAATCAATGACATCACTAAAAGGTTAATATGTTAATAAAAGAGATGGATCAAATAAATTGATCAATATTATCCTTTCTCTTGGCAAAAGTACCCATTAGATATCCTTACTTACATCGTAGAAAAAACTTGAAAAAGGAATTCGGCTTTTTATTTCTCAAAGTGTAGATATGCAGGTTATGTCAGGCCCGGTCGAACTACCCAGAACTTAAACTTTACAAAAACTTACTTATGTTTAAAATCGTTAATGAATTCTTGAATTCTTTTGCAGATAATCTAAACTGGCTTAAAGATAATGTCACAAAATCCAGTAATGTCGAGTGGTTGCTGTAAATCAGATTAGGCCATAAGTAAAAAAGTGTATATGCAACAAATATAAGAAAATTATCAATAGGAAAAAAAAAACACTTGTTTCATTCCAATCTTTTTTAATCAGAGCAAACATTGCTTGAATTTTTAGGAAAAATTAAGTGATTTTGTGAACTTTCATTTGAGAAAGTAAAACGCTTGTGTCTATAAGAAATACGGAATAAAAATAAATTTTAAACAAAATGTTGGGTCTGACTCGGCAATTCAATCGTTCCTTCGCTCACAATTTTGCTAAGAAACATATGGTGAGGTATTATCGCGGAGGACATCCAGGTTGCGTAAGTATATTTACAAGTTTTCGTCGCAAATTGATCAACAATGGATATCTTTTTCACTATTAGAATCTTCCCTTTAAATTGGATAACCCTATGAGATTTACTATCTTTTTTACAATATTCGGCGTTACGGGCTTCGGATCGCCTTGGATAATAGTAATGCACCAAATGTTACGTCCTTATGACTACGATTAATGAGATTAATTGTAACTTGAACCATTTTCTTGGAAAAATAAATCGAAGATTTTTTAATACCTTGCGTTTTCATTGTAGAATATATTTAAAAAAAAAAAAATTCTGGATTCCATATTTTAAATGTAACGAAGTTTTCTAAATGTACTCGAGGTATCAATTGCTGATGAATCCGTGTAAAGAACGAACAAGCACTTGTTTTTTCCCAATTTATTTAAAAACCTATTCGCTAATTTTACAGTAACAACTTTGTTCGAATAATAAGAAAACCTAAACATTAAATTATCTCTAAAAACGCGTTAAATCGATTCATATGAAATATAATAATATATAATACAATATTTATATATAAGTTGAAGTCTTTTTGTCATCATTTGAATTAAGTTTAATTTAATTATTTGTGCCTGCTATAAGATAAATCTTGATTCAATATATGACAAACGCGTTCCTTCGACATGTTCATAGCTTCTGCTATCTCTCTGATCTTAACTCGACGACCGTCCAATATCATTCTGTGAACTTTAGCTTTATTTTCGTCAGTCGTTGCAGTTTTTGGCCGTCCCGAGCGATCATCATCACTCAAGCTTGTACGACCGCGTCTAAATTCGGCTACCCAAAATTTCACTGTGGTAAATGATGGTGATGCCGAGTCTCCGTACACAGCATCCAACTCGGCTTTAATTTTTGTAGGCGTATTACCTTTCAAAAACAAATATTTAATAACAGCACGATACTCAATTTTTTCCATTTTTACAAAAACACTCACATCAACTCACTCAAACAGTTGCCGAACAACAACTGCGACCCCCAAAATGGCTGAAATAGTATCTACTAACATATGTACAAATGTATATCCTAACTGCTGCCATCTTTATGCTTAGGTTGGAAACTTTTCAGACCACCTACGCACATGAGATTCACAGAAAAGTACGTACAAAAAATATTTTTCTTACAATAACACATAGTTTAGGTTATTACAATCGTGTGCTGATTTTAAACGAAATACGTTCTCGTGAAAAAAATTAAATCAAAAACTTGCATTCATATATATCGCTATATTCTCTCTTCTCGACTTTGTCTCTTCTATAAACAATATACGTACTTACTTACAATATGAAGTATACATCCCTCTTTAAATAATTTCAGAGTTGCATTGTTTTTAAAAAGATTTTTTGGGATAGATATATATGTAATTGGTGTTTTTTCTTCGAAAATATCAGATTTGTGCATTTGATTTATGTTTATTATTCTTGGTAATCAAAAGCGTATCAAGTCAACAAGAAGGGACATTATATGGAGAGAATAGTCATTCATCGCGGGAAGTTCTCACAAAAGAAAATCATAAGCAGCTTCAACTAAACTTCTGGATGAAATGTGATGAGAAGAGCATATTGAAATATTCAATTCCATCCTTTTAAAGTATTTTTTAGTAATTACAGGGCTGCTATTAAAATGCTCCAAAATTTTCGTCAATTTATATCTTTTTCTGAACTAAATGCAACGCTGTCGGCAGCTGTGGCTGCGATGTGAATATAGCTGTTGCAGGAAAATAGAAAAATTGTCTAACATGAATAATTCTCAATGGCAGCGAGTTGGTTAACATGAATAACCCTAAATCGCAGCGAACGTAACCGTTGCGGACTGCCGATGTCAAGAAAAGCAGCCATGTTGTGAAGTTACGTTTAGTCAAGATCCGGTCAGCTGCGTTGCAAGACGTTTTATATATATATCCCTCCTGAGAGCTAGTATTTTTATGTGTGATGATGATGAAGTGTTTAAATATGGTCTTTGTGCGCGTATAATTGTATGTAATTATCAAAACATAAAATTTTGCTTCACCACAGTATACAGAAATATAATAATTAAAATTTCCGTCGGAAAAACGGCATGCAGCCGTATATAGTGAGAGAATTGAAACAAAAAACTATTGTAGCATAGTAGAAAATTTGGCAGTGTATAATACAAAGAAAATGAGTATATACCTGCCCGTCAATATGTGTATGAAAGGTGTTGCTTAACACACAAAATGGCGAAACTGTATGAAAAAATTCAAGTGCATTAAGAACATTTTGATTTATAACGGAGAATTTACATTCTCGCGTTGGACAATTAAAGTAAAATTGCAAAAGTTAACAAAGTAAAAACAGATAGTGGACATTTTTTGATTGTTAAAACAAATTTTTTGAATTCACGCCACGAGTTAAGGCGACCATAATATAACAACAAAAAAGTTTACCTAGTAATGACGTAGATGGTTCATGTTTATCTCCCGCGTCGGTCTGGCACTTTTTTATTACTTATTTTTTTACACCGAAATTTATTGCAAAAGTGAAATTCAAAAAGTGCGGTTGTAACTATTTGCGAATAAGATGTCTTACAGAAAAGTACTTGGAATAGTATCTCTTATTCGATAATGCGGTAAGTTTTAACAAATTTTTATCACAAAAGGTATAAGTTTTGATAAAGCGAAGGCAGGTTAACTTTTATAAAGTATATTTATGTACAGGTCTATAAAGAAAATTTTCTTTTCTTAACCTCACTTTTTGTCTGTTTTTTTTTATTATATGCCTCTTGATGAAGAGCTGGGCTGGTTAGCTAGCTACGCATATTAAGGAAAAAAAAAGAAAGAAAAAAAACCAAATCTGTTCCACAGATATTTACATTTTTAAATAATTTAGTTGCTCTTTCTAAATACGTTTTTAATTGTTATTGTCTTAGCTTTGATCTCTTATTTTGCTTTATTTTATTTTTTTCGCTTTTGAGGTTAAGATTTTTAATTTAGCCCAATGAAAATTATCAATACACAATTAAAATAAGAAAAACAACAACCATCTTAACGCTGAAATAGGCAAGCGCTGTTTTTTTCAACCACACACAATAAATACGACGGTGTTTTAGGAGACGTGACCTCTTTTTCTTTTTTTTTTCCTATGGTTAGATATTTGCTTTATTATACATATGAAGGTGTATAGTTTTTTGCTTATCGCAAAACGTCGTATTATTCGCTCTTTTTTTTCTATTTTTTTTGTAAAGTTCAGTAACATTCTTTTCTAAATTTTTTTAATATTCTATTCTCCACACATTGAAAAAAGAAGAAAAAAAAATTTCCTCAAAATAATTTTTCACATGTCATTAGAAAAAAGAAGTAATAAACAGTGTGTAATGGTGTGAGAGAAAAGTTGCTATTACACATCTACAAACGTGTACACAACCACTTTTTTCATACGCTGTCTCTTTTACACTAATTAATTTTAAAGCTGCTCTTTGTTTCCTTTTTTACATGGTGTTCGGTTTTATCATTTTCGTACTCTATTTTGTTTTTATAATTAACGTGAAGACGACAGAGCTGCCAATCGTATTGATATTGTGATTTTGCGAAAAATTTATTTGTTATAGAATTTTGGAATATTTTTTTTTTAATCAATTTTTTTGATCAAGAAGCGTTGGAATTTTTGCATGAATATGAAATACTTGCTACGTACGCATACGTGTCAAGCCCGCGAAGTCATATATTGTGCTCTTCGTTATCGATATGATTTTTATACCCAACACTAGCCTATAGTACAAGAGTATATTAAACTGCGCGGATGTACGAAAAAGACTTGAGAAAGACCATTTTTTTTATTATATATGTTTTAAGCTTGTTTCTTTGTGTCCAATCGAAAGATCGTTATTTTTGAAATATTTTGATGGAATTTGATGCACAGAAGTATTTTATTTTGCCCAAGGATGAATCCTATTGAAAACGTTTCGGATCATGTCGCCCCATTTTCCCGCACCTTTTTCGAGTAGTGTAGAGTCTTTAATAATAAATCGTGCCGCACTATAGCGCTTTTAAGTGTTATTTAAAAACCAAAGCATCTACAAAACTTTTATGATTTTAATTAACTATTTCCTTGCTGTTAAAACCAATTCAAGCGAAACAAGGAAACTACATGTGCCTTTACTCAAGCTCTCCAACAAACAAGTAAAGTGTTTCAAATATAAATGTTTTTACATTCTTTTAAATATATTCCGTTTAATTTCTTAACGAAATTTCACGATACCTCTATAATTACTTTTCCATTTCTTCCTTGGTGGACTCAAGATATTAACAATAAATATGAAAAATAAAAAAATATGAAAATTGATCCTTACATTTCGGTCAAAGGCATCCGTATTAAAAGTAAAGATATTTCCTTAAAATGTTCTCCAAATTCCCGCATCGCTCTCTATTCATAGATTTATTTTGTATTTATGACATGTTAGATGGACGTTTTGAACCCTATTGTGGGTCGTGGCAGACGGTTAGAACTCGCTTTAAGGTAAAAAAAAAGTGTTTTTGTTTTTGTTTATTTTGCATTGCACGCACACAATTACGAAAATATAAATATACAGTTTGCGGTAAATATTATGTAAGCAAATCCAAGTTCGTAGATATGTTTATATAAACTAAACAATCACACAAATAACACAATAACAATACTACGTTTAATTAGTTTAGAAAAGAGATAGAAAGAAAAGTTTCTCTTATTGTGAATATTGAGCGAAACTGTTAACTTACGGGGAAGGGAATACGATAAAATGGACCCTACGGGGGGAAGAAAAATACATTTTATCTATTTCGCGTTTATTAATAAACAATCAAATTTTTTGTGTGTTTATTTTTGCTAAATTCTGTGAAAGCTAGGTGAAGCTCTTCGTGTTCCAAATTGCGGTACATCGTACTTTGATTACGATTGCCCTGTAGCCGTAGCCTTAGTGAATGTTCTACCGAGAATATAATTTCAGGGATGTTGCCGTACTATATCTCCCTTTCCCTACTCCTGTTTGCCTGATTGTCATTGGGTTTATACATGTATAGGGCACATTCTTTGAATGATCGTCCATTGACAAAAAGGGGATGATTTGTTTTAGACACTTAGCTGTGCCTGGAATCTTGAATCATAATATTTATTAAGGGATATATTTTGAGGTTATGATCTGTCACTATTCATAAAAAAAACTTATTCTTGTTATAGTTGTTTTGATTTTATATTAACTTTGAGAAAAATTGTGAGTTGAATAAAAAAAGTGAAGAAAACATACTGATATCAATTTTTTAATAAAACAGAGTCGTTAAGTGGCCCGCAAATCAAAGAGAAAAAGTGCATGGCGACGTGCGGCGTCTCTGTGATGTTGCTCAGAATGCGGCTATAAATCTAAAGTTCCTAGCATTGATTTTAGAATGATGCTTTGTGATATTAAAATATAATTTTTTTATTGTAAAATAATGTGTAGGTCCAAACTTTCTTTTTTGTAGAAGCTAGTACATAAAACTTGTTGCCGATCAATAATTGTTTTCCTACTTGTTAAAATCATAGAAATAATCCGTTGACGTTTCAGTCTAGAAAAGCGTGATTGACCATTCCTTACTTATTACATCTTATCACCATGGCTGAAAGATAGTTTTCGTTTAATTATCCAATTCTCTTTAGTAGATGCGGCATATGGAGAATTTACATTATCAACAGTTAACATGGACATTTATACGTGCGTATACTTTTGCCCATCAAACCAGCTAGCTCACTTTTCAATCCAATCATGCGCTCTTTAGTTTTGAACTTTGATATTTTTTTCCTTTTTTATTGTGTTTGTTTTTGTTGGAGTCTTTTCTCAAATGCCTTTTCATACAAAGTGTTACAATTTTAAACATATATTATGTTTGCTCTATCTCTCTCTCTCTCTCACTCACTCTTTCTCTCCCTCTCTTTAACCATGACACCTTGTGTTGTCTTAATACTATTCGGATATGCATAATATTTGTTTGTCTTTCCCACCCTTTTATTATATTTACTTGTTAGCACCCACTAACTTACTGCGGTAAGCGTTAGTGCTTTGTAATCATAAAATCCATGTAAAAACATGTACATATCTACTTCTCCGCATTTAATCATTGTGCTTGTTGGTTGTTGTTCTTCCATTTTTCATCTCTCTCCTTTAAATAAAATCAATAAATGTATTTAGTGTCTTGTTTCATTTTTATAATTTATTTTATTTAGTTCACATGCATATCATATTGTATTGTTGTACTCTTGCTCTTCTAAGGCAACTTATTATATCCACCCTCCTCCAGCCCCTCTTTCCTCATCATCTAACTTATTCCGGTTTGTTGTTTTCTTTTTATTCTCTGTAATGCACTTTTATAGAAATAATTTTATCTGTTGGGCTTTTTGGATATATATATATATATACATATATTTGGTTGTGTGTATGGTGTATAATATTTATTTAGTGTACACTCACCGCCTGTCTATCTAAAATTTGTGCAATTTAAACATTTCATTACCGCATTCCGCAACAGTTTTTTACGCCATTCACATTTTTCGTGTGCTTTTTTATCTTTACGGTTTTTTCTATTTTCAATACTATTATAAAAACTTAAAAATTTTCCTAAAGCCCATCAGTGTTTATAAGTTTTCAACGTCATCACTTAAGTAAATCTTTGATAAATATTAAATTTTTTTTTTTATTCTGTGTACGTTGCACTGATAAGCGTTTTATAAAAATCCTTTAAAAAATTTCTGAAATATTTATAAGGCATTTGTGCAACGACTGGAGTAAGAGAGGGGTGGGATAGTTTCGTTCGTTTCGGAAAATTAAGTACCGCGGCGCGTAGAAAGGATAAACATTTCTATATTTTTGATAATCTTTCATTATTTTCACGGTAGATATGAACAGAGTTGCCTCGTTTTAAATCGCACTATTTATACGGGGAGTAATATACAAGTAGGATATGAATAATTTTATATATAAATGGAAATATATTATCATAAATGAAACTAATTAAGCGAATATTTGCTTATTAACAAAATTACATTACGTATTACAAAAGTTTGTACTGAAAAGAACAGTGTACAACAGAGACTCTGTAGAAAATGCATTAATTTTTATTTAGCGTAAATAGCACGACTGATTTAACCATATTTGTCGTCCATGAATAGCAATTACTAAATTTCTGCTTTCTCAAAGTTTTCGTTTTCACTTTTCATAATAAATAAAAAAAAAAAAAAAAATTTATTCTTGATGTAGTGCTGCAAAGTTCTCCTTAAAGCAAGGTTTCTTAAAAATGCTATTTTATGTTGAAAATCCTTCAGCAAAATGGATAGTCATTGAACAAATACAGTATTTACTTCTATATAGTTCTGATATTGCTACCCACTTTAAAGGAAGTTAAAGATGGATAATGCAATACACAACTATTTTTCCCAATGCTAAATATTTTTAATATTTTATATATATTCTGTTTGAACCAATTCAATTTGATAGAGTAGATGTTTTGTCTGCTATTATGGGACGGTTTCGTGACTAAAGAGAATATGTTTTATTCATAAAGATATAACAGCAGATTGTGACAGTGAAAGATAGCATAATGTATTACATAACATTATACTAGCAAG